TGTTATTGTCACTGTTACATAAGTGTAAATAACATACAAATTGAATAAATAACTCATAAATGCACCTTAACGATATGAATAATCTTAAATTAGAAAATTAGTTAGTTAAAAAAATTGTTAGTAAAACCCGTCGTTTTGACAGGTTCCATAAAGCTAGTGTTAACCCGTTACCCACCGCAATTCAAAAATACAAAAAAAGAGAAATTAAATGGAGGTTATTATTATTAATATTATTTTTATTTATTATTATTATTATTATTATTAATTGTAAAAAATAATAATTTAATTGTGATTATTATTATTATTATTTATTTTTATTATTAATTTTATTTTTATTTTATTATTATTAATTAATTGAGGTTATTATTATTAACAAAATAGCGTCAATTCTTAATACTTTCATGGAGCACGCGATACGTTCTCACTATTTTAATAACTTAATTTTAATTCTAAGTTGCAGTTTTAAGAAGAAAAAAAATTTTAAAAAGTGTCCCAGAAATGGGACATCGGCGGACAATGGGTTATCATTGCCACCATCCCTTTCCAGGCTTTGTATTATTATAGACACGGACGTATCAAAATCTTCTTACCTCCGTCATTTCAGATAACGCCGCCGGATCCTTTGAAGGAACTCGTTGCAACGGACGTTGAAACTTTGCGGCTGGCGGAGGATGACGAAGAATTCGCACATCTCGAACTGGACATCTATCAAATTAAGAGTTTCAGAGTGGGAGACACCAGTGAACAATGATTCGGGCATTTCGATTGGCAACGTTCCATTTTATGCGTCATTGTTTACAGCGTGGGACGAGTTGCCGATATCGAAACGCCTAAAAATTGTCGGTGCAGTAATGTCTCTCTAATTGACGCTCAGATTATCCACAAAAGTGGATAAAAAGGAGATACGATTATTCGAGCTTCTCGGCACATTTTTATAGTGTAGTAGTAGTTATATTATTATTTAAATTATTAAAGTTAAATTATTTAAAATTAAAATGATTGAAGTTAAATTATTTAAAGTTAAAATTATTAAAATTAAATTATTTAAAGTTAAAATTATTGAAGTTAAATTATTTAAAGTTAAAATGATTGAAGTTAAATTATTAAAATTAAATTATTTAAAGTTAAAATGATTAAAGATAAATTATTCAAAGTTAAAATGATTAAAGTTAAATTATTTGAAGTTAAAATGATTGAAATTAAATTATTTAAAGTTAAAATTATTAAAGTTAAATTATTTGAAGTTAAATTTATATTACATTTTTATTACGATTAGTCGAGCCTTGCGGTTCGTTTTTATAGTTACGAATTGTCGACAACTATAAAATACGAGCTGCGAGGCTCTAATAATCGTGTTCTCCACTTCCCAAATTGTCCATTTTCGTGCACAATCTGAGCGTCAGTTAGGGAGACATTACTGTACTCCCGGAGATTTGGTACGATCTTTTTATATTATACGTTTTGAAACTGTCTAAAAAGTATGCTTTCGGCAGCCAGTATGATAAATCGTTCCGATTTGTTTTTAGAAGTTATAGTTGTTCTTAAAACGGTGAAATAAATTCGAGGATAACAATGTAACATTAAATATAAAACAAATTTTTCTTTGAGAAAGGTAAGGGTATCTTAATGACGACTGAAAGGTGTCTTTTAATCGTAAATTTAATTACTTGAATTCTTGGGCAGCGTCTGTTAAAATCACTTTCTGTATTATGATATGATTTTATACATTGTCGCTTCTTAAAAGTCTATTTATTCAGTATTTATAATTTAGAAATCGATACTGAATGCCAAAATTGACTTGTGCACGCTATTTAATTAAAAACATTGTTGTTCTGTGTTCAACAATCTCGAAAGGACTGTTTAATACTAGATTTACGGAGCACAAAATACAGCTGTTTCATATTAGTTTATAAAAATGACAATAAGACATTTATTCTGACATTGTAACATTTGCCGCAAGTAACATATAAATTGAATAAATAACTCGCAAATGTATCTGTACGAATGATCGTAATTTACGGATGATGGTAAATTAAAAAATTAGCGACCCGTCGTTTTGACGGATTCCGTAAATCTAGGGTTAATCGGAATTCCCCGACAGGTCTGTTCATGACCTACTTATTCTACTTGTTGCGGATACTAGAACACGAGAACCTGGCGGATTTCCAAACTGGAAAATGAGGCCTCAAATGAAATGCATTTCTATATTGTTATGTTATTTCTATATTGTTTAATTTATATTGTTTACATTTCTATTGTTTTTTATTTCTCTATATTGTTTCTATATTGTGTAATTCTTTCTATTCTATATTGTTTAATTATTTCTTCGCGAATCACCCTTTGAAAGGGTAAAAATATTAAAGTCAGAATCGATCGAAATTCTTCGAACTTAACAAATAAATACCAAGACAACTGTAACTAATTTTTCTCACTGATTCAAGCACGATAAAAATCATAATATAGGCTCGCTGAAAAAATTTGACTGAGATTTTTGGCGCGCAAAAAGCGAAACAAAATAGCATCGACTTAATTCCGAAAATTCGATTTATTGGTTCGGCAGGAAAGTAACTTTTGATATTTCAATGTGAAATAAAGCTCGATTGCTATCGGTTGCAAACAAAATTGCGCGGAATTTGTTTCTATATTAACCTAAAAGTGTCAACTGCCAAAGCTGAAAACAAAAAAATTATAACCTTAACGAAAGAACAACGATGCAAGCATAACACTATCTATTGGTACAAACCGTAATTACTTTCTTGCCAATCCAATACAATGAATCAGAAATAAGATAATAATATTATCTTATATAAGATCTTTAATTTTTATATATAAGTTAATAATATTCCACATTATAACCTTAACGAAAGAACGACAATGCAAATATAATACTATCTATTAGTACAAACCGAAATTATTTTCTTGCCAACCCAATACAATAAATTAGAAGTAAGATAATAATATTATCTTATATAAGATCTGTAATATTATTTTTACATATAAGTTAATAATATTCCACATTATAACCTTAACGAAAGAACGACAATGCAAGCATAACGCTGTCTATTGGTGCAAACCGAAATTACTTTCTTGCCAAGCCAATGCATAGATGAACACAAGTAATTTCGATGATCATCGTGATCGTTAACTTCGAGGTTAAGATCGTTAACTCGAGATAGTCTGGAACGACTCAAAGCGTATAAATTAATTGTATAAAGCATGTCGCAATGATTCTATTATATTTGGCCAAAATACGTCGTGGTTTGGAAACTTTGTTTCGTGCGCTTCGATGGCTCAGATTTGTGCGCCATGAGAGGAAATCTGGGATTCATAGCCAAGGATTGTTCCACGAAATTGTTTAATGCTAACAAAAATGCCGATCGTTCATCAAGGACTTCTTCACGGTAACGTGATCCAATCGCTTCATTTAGAATTGCCTGTTTCATTAGAAATTCCATTAAGTGACTTTCGATAAATCCGACGTGTTGTTGAATGTTTTGCTTTCAGGGGACAAATTTAAATTTATTTCGCCATTCCACAATTACACCGATGCACTTCCGCGAAGGACAAACTAAAGAAGTTCGATCAACGGTGTTAAATTGTCCTGTATCTGTTCCTATCTGCAACAGGAACAAAATTATAACCCAACTAAAACTCAATTTGGTTTTTTTGGTAACTCAATTTATCCTGCATTGGACCTAATAATTATCTTATATAAGATCTTTAATATTATTTTTATATATAAGTTAATAATATTCCGCATTATAACCTTAACGAAAGAACAACAATGCAAGCATAACGCTATCGATTGGTGCAAACCGAAATTACTTTCTTGCCAACCCGATAAGATCTCCGGTCCCAAAAGATAAACAGAAAGAAGGTATTAAACGGTGATAAAGGGTGACAGCGCGAGAACTCGTGAAGAGTAATCGCGCGAGAGAATCGGGACGAAAATACAGAGAAAGATGTCCGAAAGCATAAACGACGAAGACGGTTGCCGTAACGCTATCTATTGGTGCAAACCGAAATTACTTTCTTGCCAAGCCAATGCATAGATGAACACAAGTAATTTCGATGATCATCGTGATCGTTAACTTCGAGGTTAAGATCGTTAACTCGAGATAGTCTGGAACGACTCAAAGCGTATAAATTAATTGTATAAAGCATGTCGCAATGATTCTATTATATTTAGCCAAAATACGTCGTGGTTTGGATACTTTGTTTCGTGCGCTTCGATGGATCAGATTTGTGCGCCATGAGAGGAAATCTGGGATTCATAGCCAAGGATTGTTCCACGAAATTGTTTAATGCTAACAAAAATGCCGATCGTTCATCAAGGACTTCTTCACGGTAACGTGATCCAATCGCTTCATTTAGAATTGCCTGTTTCATTAGAAATTCCATTAAGTGACTTTCGATAAATCCGTCGTGTTGTTGAATGTTTTGCTTTCAGGGGACAAATTTAAATTTATTTCGCCATTCCACAATTACACCGATGCACTTCCGCGAAGGACAAACTAAAGAAGTTCGATCAACGGTGTTAAATTGTCCTGTATCTGTTCCTATCTGCAACAGGAACAAAATTATAACCCAACTAAAACTCAATTTGGTTTTTTTGGTAACTCAATTTATCCTGCATTGGACCTAATAATTATCTTATATAAGATCTTTAATATTATTTTTATATATAAGTTAATAATATTCCGCATTATAACCTTAACAAAAGAACGACAATGCAAATGTAACGCTATCTATTGGTGCAAACCGACATTACTTTCTTGCCAAGCCAAATACCTTACGAAGCGAGGTCGCTGAAAGAAAAATTGCGAAACGCGAGCAAAGAATTGTCGTGTATCTGTTGTCCTCTCTGCAACAGAAACAAAATTATAGCCCAACCCAAAACATTCGAATCGAAACACATAACGCTATCTATTGGCGTAAATCGAAATTCCTTTCTTGCCAGGCCAATATTAAAAATTAATCAACTAGCTCGAATCTCTCCGGATCCGAGCACCGTATTATCTGCTTATGATGTCCGAATACACCTTTCGTTCAATTCCGAAGCATTAAAACCGATTTATTTCGATGCCCGTGAAATTTCGAAACCGGTTGCCGTGGCGGCGTCTCGTTGCATCGAATACATGAATATTTTAATTGCGTTCGATGACACAACAGTAAACGTTGAAAGCGTATACTAAATGAGCGTAAAAAACGAACTGGCTCGTGAATCGTGCACGGGCCGACCCGACCCGGCCCGTCCCGGCTGTTCCAGGACCACTGGCCGCTGCCGTTCTCGCTTATAAATGAGCAAAATGCGTGCGTGTAACCGATACGGCAGGCCGATGACACGATGTCAAAAGCACCGGGTTTCGCGTACGAAACGCGCGGGATCAGCGGGGCGAAGCGGGGCGGCTGGTCGGCTGGGAGTAGGAGGAGTAGGGGTGGGGGAGGTTAACCTCCGAAGCCTCTACGAACGCGCGTCGGCGGCCCGGAATTTCTGACGGACCGTTCGGTATCATTATTTGCGTGAAATATCAGGCATCGATCGCTGCGTTTTAACCGGGCGCGCGCTCGTCCGAAACGAAACACGCGAGACCGGTCCGCCAAAATATTCCGCGGCAGGATTTGTTCTTCGTCCAGCGTGTTGTGTCACCGCGAACACGCTGGGAAAACATTTGGCGCGGAAACGTTTTAATTTGCCGTGGAAAAAAAGGCCGAACCGGAGAATCTCATAAACAATGATCGGATGGATGCGGGAACACGAGAGCCGAGTCGAGTCGGCTCTTACTATGTACATATAACGCGGCCACGTCTCTGTTCGACACTCGGCGGCGGCTTTCGACGGCAGAAACGGGAATGAACGTTGGTTGCTTTTAAGCACACCGATAATAAATCCCGGCTAACGCGCGGCCCGACGTCAATTCAACTTCGATCCCTTTGACCGTGGAACGAATCGTCCTCGTTATTGCCGATGTCAATAATCCAGCCGGCCGACATAATGCAAACAAGACGTCGACGAATATTGGAAACGTATCAGGAACGATGGCTGTGCGGTCCGTTGTTGCTTGGCCGCGACAGCGCAGCGACACGAATGCGGCATCTTTCCCGGTGACTTGAAGCCGGGGAGATTAATAAAAAAAAAAGAGGGAGAGAGAGAGAAGAAGCGCCGGAGAAATCGCGACGTTTACGATTCATCCTCCGAAGCTGCAGCGCCGGGTTTCAATGACTTTGCGATTCGATTCGTTTTTTTTTCGGTAAGCAGCACGAATATCATTATCGTGCTAAGTGAAATAACGGAGGAGGAAACCGTTGGGATAGAAACGTGTGGGATCAGCCACGAACAAACTCGATCGATTGACTGTTCTGTTTTCTGGAAGAGATCTTTCGAATAAGTATCGACGGAGATAGAAGATGCTTTTAATTTCGCGGAGTTGGTCATTGATGATTGAGAACTGTCATTGTGCTTTCCTGGAGCGTGGGCGCGGCATCGTTGCTCACCGTTGCAACTAAGGAAGAGTTTCCCCTCCCCTCTCTCGCTCTCTCGCTCTCTCTCTCTCGCTCTCTCTCCCTCTCTCTCTCTGGTCTTCCTAACGTGTGAGCTCAATTTCCACGTTATAAAACAACAATATTTTGCGATTCGTTATAATTAAACTGCGAATTTTACGGGTTTACGACCGAAATTAGTAACTGTAATTTTAGTAGCTTGGTTAAATTATCACAGAAAGAGAACAGTTCTTAAAATAAACACAGTTCTTAGAACAATTGCGGGCAATTTTTATTTCGCATAAAGATACGCGGTCTAATTGTAATACGGCGATCATTTAATTATGGCACGTTGCAACCAGAAATCGTCGATGATTCATCAAACGCGCGAGTGCGAAGAATACGTCGATTTCGATGAAAATGCGAGAGACAGTTGTTGGGAAAATATTTTACACGATCCTTTCTGTCGAAAGGATTAAACGGACTTCGAAGGTGATATAAACAACAGGGTGTCGAAGAATACTTTCTTTCGCTTACGTGGTTTCGAGCGTATTTAACCGTTTGAAAATATATATCGAAATTTTTATGTACGTTGTACATTATTTTTTAAAATACGAATGCATTCTTACGAAAACTGGCGCGAAACGAAACCGGAGAGTACTTGCTTTTTAAATTTATTTTACGTAATTATATTATTTATTTAATCGAGGATTTATTTCGAAAAAATGTATACGAAATTTTACAAAATCTTGGACAACGATAGCGCGTAACATGTTGCAAACGGTTTGCAGCGAATGTTCTCTAAACTTCTCATGGAAATAATGTATAACTTTAAACGTTTTCATTTCTTCTCATCGACGATCGAGAACCGTCAATCGTACTTTCTTGGAACGTAGGCGCGGCTTCGTTGCTCTCCGTTGCAACCGAGGATGAGTTTCCTAAGAAGCGTTTCAAAATTGCACGATACGAATGATCCGTCGTCTACTATTATTCTTCTTTCTCGCCGAGATGCGAAGTTCATCTTCGGTTTCTTTTTTTTTTTTAACGGAATACTCGATACTTTTTCCTGAAATTCCGTAGTGTATCGAAAGCTGAACTGTATCGCATTACATCGTGCCTCGATTCGTTTTTCTGTAGTATCGGTAGTATTAAGTTTCGCAGCAAACATTTTTGTATACAGATCCGAGAACAAAGCAACGTCCGTGGCATTAAAATCGTGCCTGTAGCAGCATCCGTTTCGAGTCATCCTTTAATCGTCCTAATAGATTCGAAGCGACGTTATAAATTTTTAGTTCTACGTTATTTTAAATC